TGTTTTCTTTTTGCTTATGTGGTGCTGAGGAATCGAACCCAGGGCCTCATGCATGCAAGGCAAGCACTCTACCACTGAGCCACCTTCCCAGCCCTTGTTTATATTCCTGATGATGGTTTTATCTAGTTTAAGTAACCAAAGTATAGAGTATAAGCAGAAAGTGCAATAATTACTTATTATCTCTATGTGTTTATGCATGCTGTTTTGCTGGTGTAGCAAACAAAGAGGCATCAGAAAGTAAGTCTAGTAAACAGTGCCCCTGCAGGAGAGGGGTGGGGGCGAGAGGGAGAGGGTTGGGGGGAGGTGGGAGGCCATGCTTCACCCCCTGTGCTGTGTGACCCCCGCAGTGTGGCTCAGCAGTTTACCACACCCCTCACCTCATTAGAAATGATCTCCAGGTTCCTGACAGCACTTGGGGAACATAAGCTCCCACCGTCCTCCCCTTTGAACGTGCCCCCCAGATAATCCCAGCTCAGCTTCCCGCATGCTGCTATTGAGTAGTGCACTGTGTGATTCTACATTAATACATTAATTCCCAGGTGGCGGATTACCCAAATCTGCTTTTGGTAGGGCCCTTGGCAGGCGCAGACAGCACTGGGACATCGCCAGGAGACTCACTTTGCTCTGTGGCTGGTCAGGGTGTGGTCCCTTGATCCCTTTCCTGTGATTCTGTTCCTTCGAACGCCTCTGGTGATGTCACTTAGCCACTGATGTATGTATGAAGAGAAATAACAGACGTATGCTTCAAAGATTAAATAGCCCAGCATCCTGCTACGTCCATGTGTGATGGCCAATCCTGTTTTATCCTACTTATATTCCCCGCCCCCCACCCCTCCCCGCCTTTTATCTCAAAGACTGACAAAGGATTCTCCAAACAGACTAAATTTGAATTGGTCTTCTTAATAAAGAACGTTGGAAACACTCAGTAATTTAGTCTGTGTAGGTTGTATATAATTGGACCCAGTGCAATGGATGTAATCTCTAAAGAGCAGAATTAGGAACCATATTGTTAATTACTCTTTTTTTTCTTCTGGTGCTATATTGTGGCTTGAACTCAAGGTCTAGGTGCTGTTCCTTGTTTTTTGTTTTGTTTTGCTCAAGGCTGAGTCACACCTCCACATTTCACTTTTCTGCCTGGGATGGCTTCAAACTACAATCCTCGATCCTTAGCTCTTAGCCTCATGAGTAGGGGGCTGGGAAGGTGGCTCAGTGGTAGAGCGCTTGCCTTGCATGCTCGAGGCCCTGGGTTCGATTCCTCAGCCCCACATAAGCAAAAAGAAAAAAGCTGGAAGTGGCACTGTGGCTCAAGTGGTAGAGCGCTAGCCTTGAGCTGAAGAGCTGAGGGACAGCGCCCAGGGC